ATTCTGAAACATAATTCTACCTATATCACTAAACCATAGCAACGTCACCTTGAAATCGTCTTCGCCTATTTATACTGGTTTGTTGATTACTACACACGTTACAACGTTCACGTTTAACCTTATACCGCGCAGTAACCAGGAGCGTTGTTTAGGGTGTCCATCGAAAAGGAGCAGCTCGTCTGCGATGCTGAAAACATATCTGAAACGCTGTCGACAAAATCTGGTATGAATACATTAAATGTTCGAGCATGATACTTGTTTCTTTTACTCACCTGTTTTCTTAAACGACTCATCTTTGACTAAAAATTTTCGAGATTCGGTTCATCCATCACTTTATATTTCACACTGGGAAGGTAGGTTGGAATTTTTTCAAAACATTAGTATACCAGTGGCATGTGCATTGCCAAAGCTTGTAGTGTTCTCCGCATACTGTCCACTTTATTTTCTGTTCTACAGTGCATACGAGACGAAGTTGGCACTCTGCGTAGTTCCACACATATCTCCATAACGTTATTTCGTTCCCCATGATTAGCACCACCGTGGTAAGACTACATTATCATACGCCATCGTTGAGATAATTGCTATTGCACCCCAGGCAAATGACCGTTTAGACGCAGGTCGCTAGTTTGTTTGAACATTCTCAGGGTCGCGGTTTTCCATGCTGTTTTGATCATGATGTCTCATGTTTTTATGTAAATTTCCATCATATCCATACCTCAACGATAAACAGCTATCTGCTAAAATTTAATCATTTTTGAATAGATGGACACTAATCTGTTGTATGGTGCATATATAACGCGATTTCGCTGCAGTTAAATCTCTACGACTCTAGTGTTCATACGACATTTGTCCAAAGTGCCTTTCATCTGTATCATGTTGACTCCCCTCATGGTATTTTTCCCCCTACTCTGATTCCGCAACCGATGCGTTTCGTTTTCTAACTTTGACGCATCGCTTTTGCGTTTCCTTACTATTATCTGTGACGAATCGTATTTTCCCCTTTGATACGTGATTAATAGTTCACTGATCTGAAAGATGTCCGTAGCTCACATGTTACTTGTGTTATGTTGTTCACACAGTAACCACAGGGTTTAATGACCCAGAATAGTTACTTTTTCTAAACAGTTGCGTTAAAATATTTCATTGCTTAGATTTCGTGACGCAGATCTTCAGCAAAGTCCCAAAGGAGCAAAATACCAATGGCGGAAAAGACGAAGGAATACAGTGCCTCATATTATCGGAATTGTGTAGAGGTAACGGTGTCTGTTTTTTTCTTTCAAATACTGATCTATCTAGAGGTTCCGTTAGAAATAGATCATATTCTTCTTTTGATTCGACGGTTTATAACGGTACCACATTTTCAAGAGTCGTGTTCTTTCCTAGTCTTAATTACAGTTACAGATGTCCGCCTGCAGTGCACAGGGAACACGTTTTAGGATTGTGGGCGTTCCGTAAGTTCGATCTTTTCTGAATGGGTATATAATAGGCTTCTCAGTATTCCGTATATGTTTTGCGTCGTCCTTGATCTTGCGTATATGTTCCTCTAGTATCCCTACAGTATTGACTGACGTACCCTTCATCCGTGTCAGGTTTACTGTCCTCATCGTTTTTGGCACAGCAGCCATGCCATG